CTGGTTAAGTCGATGGTTTATGTATCCTCCTTGTGTAAAAGACAATAAATCGTCATTTAATGTATCTAATTTGCTTTTAAATTTACTAATGTTTTCCATTTGTACTTCTTGCCACTGTTGTTGACTTTCTTGTAGTTGTCGGAGACTTTCTTCCTGTTTATTCTCTCATTATTCTTGTTTCTTTTCTTTTTCCTCCAACCACTGCTGTAATTTCTCTTCTTGTTTCTTTTCTTTTTCCTACAACAACTGCTGTAATCTCTCTTCTTGTTTATTTTCTCGTTCTTCTTGTTTCTTTTCTTTTTCTTCCAACCACTGCTGTAATTTCTCTTGTTTCTTTTCTTTTTCCTCCAACCACTGCTGTAATTTCTCTTTTCGTTTTTCTTGTTTCTTTTCTTTTTCCTCCAACAACTGCTGTAATTTCTCTTCTTGTATTGCTGCTATTAAGTCTGCTAGGCTGTAGTTTGATTTGCCGCTTCTCGTTTCCATTTTTTTTATCCCTCTCTCTGACACCAATTTGTTACGTCTATGTTCGTTAGTTAATTTTCCGTAACTTCGTTCCGACGAAACTTTAGCGACACAAGTCCTTTCTTAAATAAAACTGGTTTTTTCTTACCGAATACAACTTTACGATACACCTAATTTCAACAGTCGCTCTATAACAAACGCTATAACTCACGTCCAACAATATTTTATCTGCATACATTCAATTACTCCTTACCTCTGTTGTCCCGTCACGTTGTGAACGTCTTATATATACAAGACTAACACATATCTAGTAAATGCTACGGCATTCTTGAAGGAACAGGATATTTCTAGAAACAGGTGGCGTGATACTAGTCACGTGACCTCGCTGACGCAACAATATTTAATAACTTACTAGCTTAAGTTAAAACAATTTGGAAAGGTTACAGTGGCTCATAGAAACTGATTATAAAACTGAATATGCAATGGTGGATAAATATGAGGAATATTAAAAAAAACAATAAGTATTATTTAAAGTAGTAAATAGAAATGCAATTACTGACCACCCTAAAAAAGAAGATAGTGTTGCGTCAGCGAGATCACGTGACTAGTATCATGCCACCCGTTTTCTAGAACTATCCTGTTCCTTCCGGAGTGCTCTAGCATTTGCTAGATTGGGGGTGGTCTTATATATATAAGATGGTCACGGCGTGACGTGACAGTATGTGTGTAGGTAGTGAGTAATTGAACTGCAGTCAGAAAGTATTGTTGAAGTTAACGTTCGTTGTTAAAGCGTTTGTTATAGAGCGACTGTTGAAAATAAGTGTATCGGTAAAGTTATATTCAGAAAAAATAAACCAGTTTTATTAAGAAAGGACTTGTGTCGCTAAAGTTTCCTGGGAACGAAGTTACGGAAAATCAACTAACGAACGGAGACGTAACAATATTGTAGGCTGTCCAGTACAGTTGACTGAAAACATAATTTAACAGTTGTGGCTTATTATATAATGGTCTGTGCTGTGCCCAACATGGATATCGAAATATGGTTTTTAGTGTTATAATTCGCTGAGTCACTGAGAGGCTTTATTATATTTTCATTCCTTTTTTTTTATGTTGTTACTAAAAGTAATTATAGAGGATATCACAACCATTGACGACACCGGAAGTGCAAAACTTAGCGCTGTACGCAACTGGTAGAGGCGTATGAAACGCACTAGAAAACGTCTGAACCCTAACGAATGATTATGGCTTATTCTGTAAGAGTAGCTCGAAATTTACTTTATTTACGATCTGAATTCATGTTTAAACTCAAACGGAGTCCGCAAAAATCGTTGATTCAAAACAGAACAAAAGTTACAACAGAAACTGGAGCTTTTCTTCCTGAACCGGAAAGAGTTCCTTTTGGTATCATACGAACAATTTTTGTGTTCTTACCAGGGTTGTATTTAGGAGCAACACTCAGCAAGGAAGGCGCAGCTTTTCTTGAGGAAAATGATATTTTCGTTCCCGATGAAGACGAAGAAGATTAGAAATATATATTGTAATTTTTTTCAGCTAAATGTAATACTATTACTAGTAAGGCTAACAATAAGTTTATTCATTCACAATGTTGTCAAACGAATTAAAATCAAGATATCGTACTTCTTAAAATGTTAGACTTAGAATTAAACGTTAAAACTTAAAGTACTTACAAGTTATATTAATATTACAATTTCATCGCAGTTTGACCCTGAACTGAGGAAGAAAGGTCTACTTTTCGAAAGTGCTCGGGTTATACACTTATAGTTATACTATTTATTGTTATAGGGTATAGTATCTTTATGTTATCGCAATAGTAATAATGTGTAGTAACTCATTAGTTCAAGTTTAAACAATTTGGAAAGGTACAGTGGTCATGTTCAAACATTAAGTTTAACAATAACAGTGATGTTTATACTATAAATTATAGCCTATTTGTTTTTAGTATTGATTTTATATTCTCAGACTACAAAGGTTAAGAATAAGAGTAGCGACTAGTTAAGGCTAGCATAGGCCTTAACGGATTAAGTGCTCACAGCTTGTAAATTGTAATTAGTGCAAGAAGTGTGTTTTGGTTGGGAACTTTGGTCTGGTAATGATATGTACTTTTAATGAAGCTAGTACTAGTAATAAAGATGTGCAATTTGTATAGTTTGTAGGTGGGAGGAAAAATTGGAGACTCTCCTAAATAACAGAGGTAATACTGATAGAGAGAAGTGTAAACTGTGGGAAATGGCAGTAGGAGAAGAGAATCTCAAACTTCTACATGCAAAGGATACAGTAGCTAATTATTGAAACAGTACTAATACTAGTAATAGGAGTAGAACTTAGAAGTAGTGGATTTAATTATAATGAGTGGGTTCTATTAAGTAACATATTTCAGCATTTAGCTTGTGCAGATGAGAATCTAAACCTGAGTACTTGCCTCAGGCCCTGCACCCTCCCAAGGCTGGCTGTGATGAAAAATGTAAGAAGCTTATAGTTATAGGTGATCAGGAGCCTCAAGAGCCAGTATGGGCTCTGGGACAAACATCTTCCCCGGGTCCCTTTTATTTATTTTTCAACATTTTAAAGAACTTTTTAAAAAGATCCTATATTAGGAGAGCTCATGAACAAGGCAAAATCATAGCAGCAGCCATTTTTAACTCACAGTATAAGTGTAAAAACGTTCATAAAATAACAACAAATATCTGTTAAATCTATAAAGTAACAAATACATATTAATTATTACTCAAGAAAAGCCAAAACCATGTTTTTTATGATTAAATGAAGATATAGTCTAAAGGTGCTTTATGGCATAACAAGGTTTCATTCACCCTGGCCCCTGAGCAGTTGTACCCTTTGCTTCCCTTGTCGGTGGGCCTATAGGTGAATTCGTTTATACCATACACATGGATAAGATAATCTGTATGGTAAATAGGGAGAAAAGAATTATGATGCAGTTTTTTTGTGCACATAGGAGCTAATGATGTAGGGAAATAATAGTTCAGAGAAGCTAATTGTCAAGTACAAGGGGTTGATAAAGGCATTTTTAGAAAAGAGCTCTAATAACTTAATTCTATCAGGCATACTGCTGAGGCTTAATTATGGGGATGAAATTATAAGCATGTTGCTAAGACTAAATGATAGGCTTGGGTTAATATTTAAGGATGAGCAGATATGTAGTTCAGTGGGAAAAGGGAGCTTTTTGGAATAGGTTGTTTATATTTAAATAGGATAAGGTCTGGCTTATTTGCAAGAGCCCTAAACTCAACTGTAAGGGCAACTTTAAGCTAGGATTAGACAGTGGTAAGGGCTAAAATAAACTAAATGTAATGAAAAGTCTAATGTAGGAACAATTTAGAAAAGTAGTGTTTTAGGGAAGTGTAAACTGTTATTATTGTAATTCTGAGGGTTTAAGAAATATTATAGATGTGAGAGTACTATTTGAAACTGAGGACTTTTATGTAATGGAAATAACTGAATATCAGTTAAATGTAGACAATTTTGATGATGGAAGTTTTTTGGAATACAGGGTTATAGACTATTTAATAGGGGAGTAGAATATAAAAAAAGGGGAAAAGTGGTTTTATATATAAAGTACGAGTTGCAACTTGTACCCTGTTTCAATTGAGAATATCAAACTTCTGGGTTTCTGTTAGTGGATATATAATGGAGAAGGCTTTTAGTTGGGATTTGTTAAAGACCACCAAATGAAATTAATGAGAAATTTATAGGAGATAAAAATTTAGCTTTAATGAGGTCCTAATTATGGGGATTTTAATTTTAGGCATGTAGATTGAGAAATGTTACAGTCAAACCATGAGAAATGTTTTTAGAAGCTATTCAGGATGGTTTTTCTTCATCAATTAACCAGGAAACCTTCTAGAAACTACAATTTTATAAATTATAGTTATTATTAATGTTTAATATAGAAATGGTTGATAGGGTGGAGATTGGGGAAAATTTAGATACAAGTGATCACTGCTCACTTAGGTTTGATGTTTTTCTGCATGTGGAGATAAGGAATAATGAGGTTTTGGTTACAAATAACAAAAAATAGCAAGTTTTCAAGGGACGAAACAGAAATTATCTGTTGTAAATTGGGCAACTAACTTAATGTGAGATACTGATAAAATGTGGGAAAATTTTAAAGATAACTTTAAAATATTCAAGATAGACACATTCCTTATATAGAAAGGAGGGGTATAATATAATTTCCCTGAAATGTAATATTTTCTAAAAATAAATTTGAAAAAAATCCAGATTTTCAGCATACATATTAAATAAGAAATATAAAATTCAAATACTGGAAATTAACCTTTCTAAGATGATAAATCACCTCCTTCTTACACAGAAATGCTATCTTCCTTGCACCTCTGCCTATGAGATTTGAATGCATATAGCCTTGAGGTAACTCCCAATTAAATTGATGTATTTGACATGAACTGCACTGGTGTAGGATAATGTCATCATTAAAAAAGTCCTCCAGGTCTCCCGATTGTGAATTCCCCCACCCTTTTTCTTCAAGTGAAGAACAGGAGCCCCTTGCCACTTACCAGTTTTTAGCCACTGGGGTGGTGGACCATAGAGAGTCTTCACTAGTTGGGCTTAGCACAGTATGTTGAGAACTGGAGTAGTGGTGACACTGTCAGTCTAGTGTGACTCACCCCTCAAAAAATCTACAACAAAACCAATGTGCCCTCCTCCTGCAGCCAGAGCTTATTCAGTAGAGTCAAGATGTGCATACACAGTACAGTGTGGCTATGATCCAACCATATCACACTTTTGGCTTTACAACTGCTTGTGTGCAAGTGCTTGGGTAGTCCTGTTCTCATTCTGCTCATCCCTGTGACACTTGGGGCTCATTTGCTTCTCTCCCCCCTTACATTCTGGGCAAAGAGTATACCCTGGTCGAGAAAGGATGTGTTCTTTCACAGGTGAGCACGTATGGAGCTCCTGCCCTTGGGTGTCACATTCCATGGCTTCCTTCAGGTGGTTTCTGAAGGGAACTCATCTAGGAAATAACATTTTGTACTGGCCCCTCCACCATTTCAACATGGGAGTCTAGTATTTCTCTGTGAAGAGGTGAGTTATCATATCTTAAGTTAACCTTTTCCTTACCTGAAAATGTATTTCTGATAGATACTTTCCTCTTCACATGTTCATACACATCCTCCCTATTTTTGTTGCACATGTTTTTCTTCTTGCCATATCTAAGAATGAAGTTATCATGAGTGCAAATGCACAAGGGAGAGTTACTGCTCATGGCATTGTATTGCCCTTCTGTTGGTGGAGGATTTTTGTCACATTCATGGTGTCATCATGCATCAGCACAATTTGCATCAAAAATGTGAATTTAGGTGGGTGTTACCTCAAGGCTAGTGGTATGCAAGTCTCATAGGAAGATGCATAAGGAAGATAGCATTTCTTTGTGAGAGGTAAGTATCTTTCAGAAATACATTTTCAGGTGAGGAAAATGTCAACTTTTATCACAGAAGAATCTAAGTTGCTTGACTTGATGATTTGATTTACACTCTAAGGAGTTTAGTGCTGACCAAATCAAGCTCTCCTTCCTTCATTTGTGGAGTCCTGTCACAGCATGCTTGTAAGTGTGAAGTACAGGTAGTATGGTGCCATCCCTAATTCCTAACCACCAACCTCAGAGAGGCAACCAGTCCAAAGCAACTACTTATAATTTTAAAAAAATGTTTAACATCAGGTATCCCATGTAGATAAGTTGCATTTATTACTATTGCTTCTGCTACTATTATATGCTTGAGAAGTTTGGCACTGCCTCTCTTACCTCCAATAATCTCCTCAAGGTTCTTGTAATAACGTCCAATTCAATTTGATTTCAGTAACATTTGTCCTTTCCACTTTATAAATGACAAGGAAAATTTCCTGAGTCCAAATTTCTTCCTTTTCTAATTCATATGGTGTGTTATACATTAAACATTATATATTGTATAGTCAATATTTTATGTTATAAATAAATTAAAAACTTGGCAATTGTTTACAAAGTATTTGTTAAAGTATCTATCAGGAAAGATAAAAGTACCAGGCCTAATATATTGTTAACAGTGAGGATAGTATGCAATTGATGGAACAATGCATTCAAATCTTTATAAATAAGAACATATTTAATTAGCTCTATTCATCACCTGGTCGATTCCATAAACATTTGACATGCTCAGTACAACACTACCATGCAACTACAAATCTGCATATGGATGATGTATGCTAAATCAAATCATGTTCATAAAAACAATACAAATATTTTACAAGAAACCAATAAGAATATTAATGGGAGTCTTAAAATAATAAAAATATAGAATTAAAAACCTAACAATGTTAGCTAAGAAAATAGAGTAAAATTATATTGGCTTCTAATATAACTGATAACAAGGTAAAGCTTGTTTGCTCACAAAACCAAACAGTATTTAAAACCAAAAAACAATATATTTCTTCCACATTTGTTATTGTTATTAAATAGAAATATCTGAAAGTGTTTGCTTGAACTAGATCAAACAAAAAGTAGAAGAACCCTTGTATGTATGTCTTAATATACATAAGTATTAACAACATTATGAATATATATATTAATATAACAATTTAAAACTATTTAGTTAATAAAAGTATAAGTAGGCCAGTCTAAAACAAATAACTATATTTATAAGTTACTTGTAAAGGTTACTACCACTATTGCAGCCTCTATTTATAGACTTGATAATTGTTTAGTTCATATTTACAATTCTGTGGTTTCTCTCCTGGAAATTGTGTTTAGAAAGTGATTTTGAATATTGATATTGATATTTATACAGTGTATTTACATGTATATTTTGTAATAACATACTTTTTAATTTTCTTTTTCATATACTTTACATATCTAGCACTAGAATAGATAAAAAAACAGAAAACAGTTAGTGTTAACCTTGTGTTTAACCTTAATTGTATATAGACAGCACTGACATAAGAGATTTGCTCAAAATATGTTAAAGAACAAATTAATAGAAATATTTTTTTCTATTTGTGACAAAATCTTTTTTAACAACTGTGCCTAAATGTTTCCTCCTTTACTAAGTTCTTTAATGTGCATATAACATATATTTTGTCCCGTGATTTATGAATCCATGCTATAGCTTTTTAACAACATTTATCTCATCAGTTAGTTAGTAATAAATGTACAGTAAATAAAGTGTAAAATATATATAATTTTATTAAAACATCCATACTGTTAAAGTATTCTTTAGATAATCCATGTGGTTGAAAGAATCAATGAATGTGAGAATAATGGAGTGATTAATTTTGAAGCATAAGAAGAAATGATTTATGTGCACATGATAAAGACTATGTAAGTACAACATATTGAAAGTAAATAGGAAAAAGCTTACAGTATCAGATAAATACAAAATCCAATATTACTGGCTTTAGGCCTGTAGATACAAGACTCGTGAATCCTCAACTAAGCTCATTTTCATTTCTCCTATATAGTTATCAGATATGCTAGTTGCTATGGCAACATGACATTTAGTTGATATGGGCTTGAAATTCTCAAGAATGTTGTAATTACACCTCTGGAACTGGTTCTGAGTAATCCAGTAAAATTTGGCTTTTCCATTTCTTCCTAAATTATAAACTTGTTCCCATTTTAGATTATTATCCAATAGAAAGTTTTAAAAGATTTGTATCCATGGCTTATGTTGTAAAATTAGTCAGTAAATTTATTTTCTGTTTTCAGGTTGAATCTCCAGTAAGCTAACATTTTGTGAAGTACCAGAGAAACTAGATGGAGACAGTTTTGATGTTTCATTCTCCTTGTTTGATCTAGGTTAAAGATGTACAGCACTAGTCTATATAGTTAGTAAATACCAATGATCTAACTTTGTAAAATCCTAAAACTGCATATTTTTCGTAAAATAATTTATTATATTTACCTAACTGTATATCATACTGTTTGTTTGTAAATTTATTGAAATTATAAATTGTTCAGTGTGTTTGAAGTTGAAATAAAATGATTATGATATCATACTTAAAGCTAAGATTAAATTATTATGTGATAAATCTGTTATAAAAATACTTAATGTATAGTAAAACTTTGAATTTAATGCTAAAGAAGTATTACATGGTACGGCATTTACAAAGCATTTTAAATTTCAAGTACACGTACTTGTTTTATCAAGGAATAATAAATTCATTATGTACTCTGTAGTATCAACGTCAGTGGTGTGTAATTTCATATTTGTATTGAATTTAACAGCATGAGTGACCCCTTTACCCACTTGGTATTTCAGTTTAGGTTTTACACAGTTCAAGGATATGATGAAAAGTGACTTTTTTTGTTGATGTTTCATCCTATGCATGATACCATGGTCAACATTTGTATGAAATTTGTTTTTGTCATTTTACATTTGTTGGTTCACTTTTAAGTTAACTCCATGGAAATGGTGGAAAAGAGAAGAACAATGATTTTATTTGTCAGAAGTGAGAGAGATACAATAATAAGGATATGTAATTTTATATGTAGGTTTAAGTTGGTTTCAAAAATTTTAACTTTAAAGAGAGATTCAAATATGTGGACTTGTCTCTGAAATTAAGAAAAGTTAAGGTAACAGAAATACAGAACTAAAGTTGTTAAGGGTTCATTTTACTCATGTGGTTCTGTTTGAGTGGTGGATTGTTAAAGCTGGAAGTAAGGGTTTAAATATTAGGAATGATAAGTATAAGTTTAGATTGATACTTGTTCATAGGAGAAACTTCCTTGGTGTTTTAGTACTCACTGGTTAAATATGGGTATGGGTTGGACATGTGGTGTACCTGTGAATTTTGGAGCTGGAGAGCTAAGTTTAAATCTGTATGATGTCACAGAGATATTCCCCGCACTTTAAGCTGTGGATGAATTATAAGAGTGAATGTCAATCTCTTAGTGTGGATGGTAGGGTGTGCTGCTGCTGTCTTCCCTTTGTTCAGTAGTTAGAAATTAGGGACAACAGCATATAGTCTTATCTTAGTAGCTTTATCATAAACACATAATACTAAAAATATAATTACCAGTTAAATATTAGTTTTATGTAGTACACCTAATGCACAAGTTTCAATACAGTTATATTTTCAGATTACAATATTTATTGAAACTTTTCTGTGGAGTGTGTGATGCGAGTGTGAAATGAATAAATCAAACCTCAAATTGTAGTTAAAGGACAGTACAAATTAAACATGACGTTGTGAAAAGCAATCGAAATGTAAACAGTCGCTAAGTGTGTTGTTAATAAATGGTGAAAAGAGAAGATTTTGTAAGTTGGTAACATCTGTTTAGGAGAAATCGCAATTTGCAAAAAAAGAGAATTAATATACAGGTACAACACAAACTATATTGACTTGATTTAAAGTACAAAACCTAACAAAGAAGAAAAAAAATAATAGCCTCATTAAACCTTCTAAAGTTCGTGTAGTATAATTATTTGAATATCAAATGATTGATACCTGTCATACCACATGTCATTAAAAATGGAAGATTGGAACATGATGAAACTGAATATTCTGATTACTGAAAAAGTTTAATTTAGCACAGGGTAGTTACAGCACAAGATATTGAAAGTAGTAGCTACCTCAAACTAACATTTCAAACATAAATTGATTAAAATATACCTGTGAAAACCTAAACTTCTGTTGCTTGTTTTTTTTTAGTATTGATACGCTATATATGTATATATGCTACATTTATCAAGTATTTTCAGTAAACTGACTGTAATGTCTCTAGTTAGTTGTACTGGAACAAAAACTTCTATATTACAGATATTCTAGTAGCTCATCAATGATTCAGTGACTTAAGTTTTGCTTATAAATGTAATTTTAAAACATGAATTAAATTTGATTAGTTTTCTATTTCCCATGATGAGGATCCACAAGCAAGAACAGAAATGAAGTTAAGTGACCAGAGGTATTTTAGGAATTAAATTTGATTAGTTTTCTATTTCCCATGATGAGGATCCACAAGCAAGAACAGAAATGAAGTTAAGTGACCAGAGAGGTATTTTAGAAATATTCATATAACATTACTTTGATGCTACATGTGTTTTTCTATATTTATTATCATACAAGATTATAAGTACAAGTGATGAAATTCTAAATAGAAGATATCTCTGAATTATTAGATTATTGCAGCCAATATTTCATCCAGTATGATGGTAGTAGATGAAAACAACAAACAATATTATCTTAAAATATGTTGCTTATAAAATAAAAAGTAAGGTAAAAGAAGTGTATTGTAAAAAAAAACAAATGAAAGAACCAATTAGTACTTCATTCAGAAATGTAATTAATTTTTTTTGACAAATACTATGTAATAAATGCATTTGTCTTAGTGTGTTTTAGTCAGATACAAAGTATTTTATACTCGGAAAACTAGATAACTAGGACAAAAAGAACTTAGTCATTTCATTGACCAATGTTATACTGTTAAAAGTACATACATCAATGGTTTCACTGTGTTTTACATTGTTTTCGGTCCTTTTTTTTCATAACTTAGTCAATGTCAAGGAATTCAAATTTACTTCCACAATACATTCTCAGTCAAACTTCTTGGTATCTTCTGGATTCTTCCTGATAACTTAGTTCTACTGTTAAAAGTACACATATTTATAGTTAATTCATCCATGGTTTCACTATATTTTATATTGTGTGCAGTCTCTCTCTCTTCTTTTTTTTTTACTGTCATAATTCGGTTGAAGTCAAGGACTTCAGATTCACTCTCCTAGTACACTCTCTGTTGAACCTCCTTTTATCTTGCACGTCCTTCCCGATCATTCACAAAGGAAACCAGTGAACCTGAAACTGAAGATCATCTGGTGCCAAAGCCTTTTGGCTAAGTCGCCAAACCGCCATTTTTTTATGTGATTTGTTAACTTCTTTTTTTATATGTAAAATATTTACTGTTCCAGATCGTGCTTTATTAGTCAATAAATAATATGATGACATTCCGATTTCTGATTGAGTTAGGTTTCTTGTAATGCCAGTATTTATATAAACTCGGAAATTAGTGTTATGGATTCCCGAGCATTTTGCTCCCAATGGAACAGCGATGTGTCTGCGGACTTACAACGCTAGAAACAGGGTTTCGATACCCATGGTGGGCAGAGCACAGATAGCCCATTGTGTAGCTTTGTGCTTAACTACAAACAAACAAACCCGAGCATTTTTATGAGATCGCTTTTAATTTGTGGGTGTCAGTTATTGAACAAATGAATTACTCGAATATTATTTTAAAAAGTCAGTAGTTTTAGTGTTTCTGTTGATGCCTATTCAATCAATGGTTAGAGATCATAGAACAAAGATTTTGTCACATTCTGTTGAAACTAAAGTGTTTTTTGTTTGTTTTTATTCTTCAAATCAAACGTATCACAATGTGATCTCATATTTTAACCTTCCTGTCTATAAAACTAATATTAAAATACTAGAAAGTAACGCAGAACATAATTCTTCTTTTTTGCTGACTTGGCTAGATTTTGCAGAGATCCTGGAAGCTGTCTTGTTGCTACTTCGGTTATCTCGAGACCGTTACAGTCTGGTGTATTTAATTAAAATTGATTTATGTTTCTTATTTAGTTCTGCATAGTATGAATAATTGTGAGATGGAAAAATATGAGCTAAACCCTATGGGCACCGAGGTATTACCAAGGTATAACTTAGGTTTGTTATTTATGTGCATGGCGTTTTTTGAAACCTTTTAATAACGTCTCAATATGATACGTGTGGGTGACGTCATTAATGGTGCAGTGTTATGTATGTTCTGGATTATACTATAACAACTAAATAAATCGGTTGATAATGATATATTTCCATATATGCTGATAAAATATTGATTGAGGGTTAGCCGGTCTTGTTGGACTGGTTAAATGTTATATGTGGATAAGATTTTTGAACTTTTTTGGCCAACGGAAGTCACAGATGTCACATTGACGACCGACATCTTCTGAATTACTTTTACACACACTTACTCCTGCAGGAGTGGAAATGTTTTTAATATCGTTATATTTTATGTTTCTAAGTATGGAAACAACCCTTTAAATTCTGTTTGTAAGGATCCATTTGAATTTCTGTTTTTGTCGGGAAGTATTGCCTTAGTAATCAAACTGGATACTATGTGTAATGTTTAGTATCATTAATATTCTATATAAGAAATATATAGAGAGAACATAAACAGTTCTATACGTCATTTCCCAATTATAAACCGCACCTTCTAGAAGTTAACGTTATAAACAAACTCGTTTATAAACTGCAATCGAGTATAAAAGGTGGATATTGTCAAGTTACGGGTATAGACGTAAATAAAAACATTTCACATATATTCCACGTGCTTATCCATAGCAATTATCTCTATCTGATTACAAAAATACAATTAACTCCTTTCACTAAATAGACTGATCATGAAAATTTGATTTCCATAATTATCAAATACTGCTTAGTTTTAACTAGATGTTTGTAGGGATTATGGTATAACTTGCTTTCGTTATATGTATTGCGAATCACGTAAAGAAGAGAGGGCATCTTTTTTTTTTTCTAGTCTTAAAATTATGGCAAAAACACAAGAAAGGAAAGCTATGAATAAAAATATTTAATAAATACTACTGAGATACAAATATAAAAACAAAACCAAGTCACTTCTTTATCATTTTAACTAATAGTTTTCTAACTTTCTGGAAGTTTGAAAGCACACGCTCACAAGAAAAAGGTCACATAACATATTTTGACAGTGATATATCTAACAGTACTAAAAACGTATATGAATTAGCGCTTTAATACAACAATCATGATAACAAGTAAAAAAATATTCAATACCACCATTATCCATTAACGTACTAGAAAAGTCCTGAAAGTTGCAACCAGCTGTAATCCAACACCGAATTCACAATAACTCCCGCGAAATTTTCCTATAAATTTTCAAGCTGAATATTGTTAACATAATCAATCAACAGATTATAGTAAGATAGTTTCTCCATGCTTTCAACCTATAAATTGCCCTATTTGCTATCAGTCTCAGAAAGACAAGCAGATTTTTCATCACAAGGTGGTGCCTCATTTGGCCAATTACAAACACTTATATTTTCATCAAAAACGAGTCCGGATGGACAATTAAATTGGTAAAGGATGAAATTCTTGCCATTCCCAAAGTAATCCACGCATCTGTAGAATTTATGGCAGTCACGTGGGTTACGAAAATATCCTTCTTGTGGACATATATCGCTATCTCCCTTGACAGGAATACCCTTGGATTCTGAAGACGATTCGCCACCACTTTCTTCAGAAGGATTTGATGACGTTTCTTTGCTCTCAGTTCCTTCTTTTGATGAATCATCTTTACCACCTGAAGCAGCATCTTCAGAAGACAATTCACTCTCGGGTGTAACGTTTCCAGATGAAGAACTTTCCGACGATGATGGTCCATTCACTGGTGTAGAACTTCCGATTTGTGATCCATCTTTAGGCAATGATATTTGTGAGTGACAAGGGGGTGCTCTACTGGCAAAATTACATACAGCATAACGTTCATCAAACACAAGGTTAGTTGGACAAGTAAACACATATATTGTAAAAGTTACTCTCTCATCACTTGTATTGACACACCTGTAAAACTTACTACAGTTTCCTGGATAACGGAAAAATCCAGCTTTTGAACATGCTAACTGGTTCGATTCTTGTGACGGTAGCAAGCTGTTATCTGAACCAGAAGTTTTAGATTCAGAGGAATCTGTTCGGGGATTTGAATCTTTTTCTGATGTTCCTGGTCCTTGTCTTGAAAGAGAAGAATCTTTATCACCTACTGTGGTACAATTATTATTTGAAATTTGTCCTGTTGAAGAGCCATCGGCAATAGTTTGTTGTTCTGGACCTTGTGGTTGTTCTCTGTCTGTTGAAGTCGAACTTTCTTGTTTTGATGAACCTTGAGATATCGCAGTGGAACTGTCACATGATGGTACTCTGCGTGGCCAATTACAGGTGCTGATGTTCTCATCAAATACAAGGTTAGCTGGACAAATGAATTCGTAAACCTTGAACTTCAAACCGATTTCACTTTGGTTAACACACCTATAAAACTTCTTACAGTCATCAGGGTCCCGAAAAAAGCCAATTTCATTACATATTTTACTAGATTGGGATGAACTTTCTTGACCTTTGGGTAGTGATGGTTCTGATCCATCTGTTGGTTTCTCATTGTTAGAGCTGCCAGAATCGGAGTTTTCACAAGGTTTTGCCAGTTTTGGTAGTGTACACGTGCATGTAGTTTCATCAAACACTAAACCTGGTAAACAGCTATATTGTAAAACTTCAAAAGTCATCCCTGAACCTATGAGGTCCATACAGCCATAGAACTTTCCACAGTTTTCAGGATGACGAAAAAAACCTTCGCGTGTGCATATCAGTTCTGACACAGCTGAACTTGGGGCTGATAATTCATCACAAGGTGCTGCATCATTTGCCCAGATACATGTTTTTTTTACTTCGTCAAAAACCAAACCATCTGAGCAATTGAAGTTAAACACTGTAAAATATTTACCGTTACCTTCAAAATCTACACAGCGATAGAATTTCCCACAGTCAGACGGATCCCGAAAATA